ACCCCAAAGGTCGGGCCTTTAGGCCCTGGTGTGTCCCTCCGGCCCTAAGTCGGGTCCGGTAGGACCCGTGTGAGTCGAAGATGTAACAGTCCCTCAGCGTGGTCGAAACGGGCCTGAAGGGCCAAAAGCACACCAGTTTCTTAAATAATATTTAAAAAAAACACAGAGAAAACATTTTTTTTGTCTTTTTTGACTTGTAGTATACGACCAGGGCCATGCCCCCATGTTTTTTGTGGGGGGAGGGCCCTACAGACCACCGATAAATCCCGTTGCAGGTCATGCACTTTTGTACTCGATGTATGCGCGTACAAAAAAAAAAGAAAAGAAAAAATTGTACGCTTTTGGAGTCTCCACCGCTCTGCTTTTTACTTAACTGTGCTGATGAACAAGATGTGTTGTTTTGTTCTTATAACTTGGTGTTGGGTGTTGGTCTTTATTTGAAATTTACATTGCATTTCCTGGCGGCTGGTTGTTAATGTTTCTTTGAAATGTACATGGCCTTTGTGGCCGGTCAGATTCGGGAGCCCATTCTATTTATCTCAGGACTGAAGGATGAAATGATTCCGCCGACCCATATGAAAAAGCTCTACGAGGCCGCAAAGTCGGCACGGCCCCGACTCATGGTGGAGTTCTCCACCGGCATGCACATGGACACGTGGATACATGGCAAAGATGCTTATTGGAGAGCGATAAGTAACTTCCTTAACCAATACGCTTCTGGTGCGGATGATCGTGACACCATGTAATGATTTCCTTTCCCCAATTGCGCTTCCATTTACATCCGTCCACAATGTATGTGGATGGATCATGCAGTCGCACTCAATTAGAGAAAGTTTTGGCATCTGGAACTCGCTGTTCATAGACTGTATGGTCGTCCCCATGCGTTCACGCTGTGTGCATGTGTATGTGCACATGCTCTCTCTCTCTCTCTCTCTCTCTCTCTCTCTCGCTCGCTCGCTCGCTGTTCGTGAACTGCATGCTCATCTCCATGCGTTCATGGTGTGTGTGTGTCTATGTGCACATGCTCTCTCTCTCTCTCTCTCTCTCTCTCTCTCTCTCTCTCTCTCTCTCTCTCTCTCTCTCTCTCTCTCTCTCTCTCTCTCAAGCGTTTGCAGGTGTTTTTATGCACATGCATCTGTGCAATTGTGTATTCCCTCTTTCTCGTTCGTCACTTGCTTGCATCATTTGTGTGTGTGTGTGTGTGTGTGTGTGTGTGTGTGGATGAACACGGGGGTGATGGTGGTTGTGCGGCGATGATGAGTAGGTGGTAATGGCGAGCAGGTGGCGATGGGAAGTTGGGAACATATTTTCTGGGTGTTATTTTGAATGTCATAGATGTGGCTGATGGCTTGTATCCCACGTATGTATGGCTGGCGTCGATGACAAAGTGCAACACATTCTCAGCCAGCGTGCTAGGAATGTGGAGGTAGATTGAGAGAAGCCCGACTGCGGTTGAAGCATGCGAGGAGGCAAGACAGTGTGCGATGGGGACAGGGCGTGGACATTGGAGTGCGGAAGCTGGCAGTCTGCTCTGCTGTGCCTTCTGTAACCTGACGGAGGGAAATGGAACTATAAGGGGGTACTCACACGAGGGGACTTTCCTGGATGTGTTTGACTGCTTTGTAGGCCAGGAGCTGGATGCACCTGACTGTGATTACGTCCAGAGATAAGTTGCACATGTCTCAGTGTGACTATGCCCTAAGAGTGTGAAAGAGGAGTACGAAGTTGAGTCAGATCGCAGGAGAAAAACGGGCAAAATACGAAAAAATGAAGGCATGTATAGCCCTCAGATATTGTGAAAAAAAAAAAATGTTAAAAACCGGTGTGTACAGCACGTGGGGTAATAATCTAGGAAGGTCCAGAGTTTCCTGCGTGGAGAAGAATGTGAGAACAGCGGCGTTTTTTTTTTTTTTTTTTTTTTTTTTTTGTACATCAGCGGAATCCCTACTTTGCTCAATTTTATTCCGCGAGCATTTTTTCGTCTCTTTGCCATTTTTCTCCTGCGATCTGCTTCTGTTTATTCATCAATGACTGCTAACAGCACAAAGCTCACTCTGCACTTTTACTATGTCTTTGCTATTGTAATATTTTTTAATTTTATTCTATATATATATATTGTCTATACTCCCTCTCTGCCTACGGTTTACCGGGCAGTTCTATTTGACGATATATACTAGGCTACCAGAGTGGCCCGGGGTCAATTGCCCGGCCAGGCCAAAAGAAATAAAAAAATAAAAAATAAAATTAATATTTTCAACATTTTTTTTTTTTTTTTAATTCGGTGAAGAATTTCGATGTGGCCCTGAGGCAGAAGTTGTTCGATTTTGTGTTCTGCATAA